CTCTTCTTCTTCTTGGTCACCATTTCGTGGCCCCCCCCTGCCCGCCATCCCCGACCACCACGTGCTTTCTCTCCAGGCTTTTTCTTCTTCTTCTTCTTCTTCTTCTTCTTCTTCTTCTTCTTCTTTTTTCGGTCTTGTCATCTTCGTACTCTTCTTCTTCCTATTCTTCTTCTTCTTCTTCTTCTTCTTCTTCTTCTTCTTCTTCTTCTTCTTCTTCTCCTCCTCCTCCTCCTCCTCCTCCTCCTCCTCCTCTTCTTCGTCTTCTTCTTCTTCTTCCACATACACACCTGCAACAAGTCTCTGACATACCAGCAAGACAGTCGAAATTCACCTGCTTTGACCCTCTGTCAAACGCCAAACCCCCCTCATTGAACCCCCTACACCGCCCCCAACCCCCCCCCTCAGCCATAGCCCCTTGGCTTTCCGTGTCTGCCAGCTGCAAAGCTCTCCTCTTGCTCTATACAAAAGTTCTTCGTATGAGGTTTCGCCAAGATTATTCATGATTTTTTTTTTATCAGGTATAACTAGGCTACCAGCCGGGCCGCCCGGGTCGCCTTGTTTGCCCGGGCGGCCCGGCTGTGCAAGAGCCAAAGAAGGTCCCAGCACAAAAAAAGAAAAAGAAAAAGAAGAAAAAACTGAAAAAAAAAAATGTTATGCACAAAAATAAACTGAATAACTTTTGCCTCAGGGTCACATCCAATTTTTTATTCTTTTCTTTTTTTCACGGCTGGGCAAGTGGTCTCGGGCCACTCTGGTAGCCTAGAGGTATAGTGTTATTTCATGGCTGTCGTCACTTTTCTTGGGTCTACAAGAAGCGTTACGCATGCCATGAGATACACTGTAGTAGATAGACACGCTTGCATACTTCTGACCAGAGCAAGGAGATCATATATTTTACTTCCATAACATGTATTTCCTTCTCCTCTTCAGTTTGAAAGATGGGATGGAGATCATCCTCTTTCCCCCACAGAGAGAATTCTCCTAGTAAAAGGCATCCAATGCGTTTAATAATTCTCGTTCCTTTTTCATTTGGGTGGTGGAGGTGCCAGTGCTGGCCCCGCTGCAAGGGACCAAAGACCGCCGGCTGGGGGGTATGCGAACAGCAATTATAGCGATCAATACTGGCGTCCATTCACCACAGAGGGGAGAATGTCCGTGCTCCAACAAATGTCACAGGTCGGGATCAACACGAAGCTCTCAGGACTACGTCTGTGCTACAAATGTGTTTCCCCTAAGGAAGCTCGCAGGACAACACCAACCGCCTTTCGAGGACAAGTCAGGAGGCTGGATCCATACCAATGAAACGGTATTCACCCGTTCGCAGTAGCGAATGCAGATCCCAGGGCTCGATCCCTAGTTCCCCATCTTACCTGTGTACAGTATCAGTGTCAACCCGTAGACTTGAACCCGCGACCTGTAGGAACGCCAGTGGTAGGTAGATTGTCGTAGGTCACCGGGTAGAAGGGAATCGAACTGTAGACCTGTAGAGTAGGAGTCTAGACAGTTCCGGAGTCGCAGTGTTTGATGCCTGAAGGGTCAAGGTCGTAGCTGCTACTTATCTGAAAGGGCAAAGTCGTAGCTGCTACAGTACCGAAAGGCCAAGTTAGAGACTTCTAGAAGTGGCCTTTCGGAGTTAGCCTGCGTTCAACAGAGGCAAGTGGTCAAGTGGTGGTAGACCACCTTGCTGAGTCAACAGTCCCAGTTAGTCAGTCCGGTCCTGTTCAGCAAGTACCGTCTGGGACTGTGCACATCGTGGGCCAAGGGATACAGGGCAGACCAACGCAGCGCAGAAGTATAAATCAAGAGGCTGTGTCCAGCCATTCATTCATTCCTGCGGATGCCATGCGGAAGCGCTGCCTCAGCAGCTTGTGCGAGGAGGTCTGCAGTGCGCCCGAAGACGAAGTGGGCAGAGAAGTGTAGTGCAGCGATAGGGTAGTGGCGGCTAGAGCTGCCATAGCTGTAGTATAGTGTGTGTGTGTGTGTTGCGTATAAACACTGAGTGTTGCATGTGGGACATCCAGGGTGATCTCGAGTGTGAACAGCGAGTTGTGTGGGCGCACAGTCGCCATAGCCAGTGGAAAGAGAACTCTTATCTGGTTACGATATCTTCGAGTACTGTGTGGGCGCATGTGGCCAGTTTGCTGTATCGCTGTTTGCATGCAT